AATTGATATAAATCAGCATTTTTTTCAATCATTGCTCGTAATATAGGTATGTACACTTTTTCTAAAATGTCTTCAATGTCTTCATGTATCATTCTGGCCTAATTTAGTTCAATCTCTCTCTCTCTTTGCCTTTTGTACTGTATAAACGTAGTGTCGAATTACATAGAGATAACTCTTATTCTACTGTTAAACAAAGTAAATCGTGATAATGATTACCAACTTCTTCATTTTTGTCAGTGTTTGCCTTGTACTTAGTGCGAGCGAAGATATTTTTTATTGATATGAAATTTTCATATCAGAACTTTTACTAATTTTGAGATGCTTTTTAATCATTTTCTTGGTGTTTAAGTTTCATCAATGCCATGTGAAGCCATATTGTAGTTTTCTACACCTTGCCATGATGAATTGATAACAAATGGTACATGTCTAAAGTCTCAACTCAGTATTGGACATACTGAGTATGAGAAATACGATAAAGTGCATCTCATATGGAATTATCCAACGAATAATTTGACAATTACTATCGCAAGCCGTTATACTGAACAGCAAAAACCATTGATCATCTATCTGGAAAAGGATACTCCTATTAATTTTAACGAACATCCGCGTTTATATCGTATTATTAGTGAAAACGAAACAGAAATAACCGTTAAGAATGATAAACGGCCCATAAAACAATATTCGGTTAAAAACTAACGGATCGTTTTGAAATATCAATTTCTCAACCATCTTATGGAATGTACATTGATTATTGGGTTAAAAAAGTAGAAAAAGTTCATGCAGAAATAAAACTGTACACAATGAGAGATCAAATTGAAGCAACAGAATTACTGGCGTATCCCGGTTATTGTAAATATGAATCACATGATAATGAAGACATTGAAGACATTTTAGAAAAAGTGTACATACCTATATTACGAGCAATGATTGAAAAAAATGCTGATTTATATCAATTGGGAGAAGCTTATTTAAATCGCCGTGAATGTCAAACGAGGGATGATTTGGAAAGAAGTTCCTTTTTAATCAAGAATTATTACGAATTGAACAATTGCTGATACGTGAACGACTTTACGATCGAAAAAATTGAACTATTCTTCATTCAATTTGGTATATGGGTGACTTCTATGAAAAACGACAGGAATTTAATCATTGTCTTCAAATATAGTTTTATGCCATAAAATTAGTTAGTAGTAGAGAAAGGCTACTATTTGTTTGCTAAGTAAAATCCGAACCAGCTCAAATTTTGAAGAACAATTTCTTTTTTTTGTAAACTTTTCAGTAAAATGTCTATGGCAATTCGCATTCGAACCACTTCAAATTCTCAAGAAAAATTTGTTTTATTACATACTTTTACAGTACTGAAGTCGAACTATGAAGAAATTTTTATGAACATTGACTCCATCGCAATTCGAATTCAAATCACTTCGAACCCTCAAGAAAATGTTCTTTTTCTATAAATGTTTACAGTGTCTATCGCAGTTCAAATCACGAAGAAAGTTTTCTTTTTTTCTAAACCTTCACAGCAGTGGCGTTGAACTATGATGAAATTATTCTGAACCACGACTCTATCGGAATTCCGATTCGAACCACTTTGAATTCTAAAGAAAATTTTCTGTCTTTAGGAACTTTTACAGTGACATATCTGTCGCAGTTCGACTCCGACCCAGCTCGAATTCTGAAGAAAATTTTCTTTTTTTATAAACTTTTACAGTAGTGGAGTCGAACTGTAATACAATTTTTATGAACCTTGACTCTATCTAAATTCGAATTAGACCCACTTCGAAGTCTCACGAAAATTTTCTTTTTTTATTAAGTTTTGCACTATAACGTCTATCGCAGTTCGCAGTCCAACCACTTCGGAGATGAAGAAAATTTTCTTTTTTCAGATACTTTTACAGTAGTGGAGTCCAACTATGATCAAGTTTTTATTGAACCTTGAGTCTATCGCAATTCGCAGTCGACCCACTTCGAGTTCTAAAGAAAATTTTCTTTCTTTAAAAACTTTTAAGGTAAAATGTCTGTCGCAATTCGAATTCTAAAGAAAATGTTGTTTTTTTGTAAACTTTTGCAGTGAAGTGTCTATCGTAATTCACAGTCGAACCACATGGTATTCTGAAGAATATTTTCTTTTTTTTATAAACTTTTACAGTAGCGGATTCGAACTATGATAAAACTCTTATGAACCTTCACTCTATCGCATTCGAACCACTTCGAATTCTGAAGGAAATCTTGTTTTAGTGAGTTTAACAGTAATGTGCGCGACCAATGTACCATGTTGATCGAAAGACTCAATTTTACATAGTTGAGTATGTTGGTGATAAACCACAATTGATTGTTCAACGCACGAACATGAGACACTCGACTTGGCTCTGAACTTTGAAATACTATGCTGTGTTATACTGGTTCGTGTCGGATAAGTCAGTTTGAGAACACATTGTACACGTATGAGATTCGGAGTGTTTTCCGACCATGATCGAGCCGAGAACTGATATGAAGTATTTTTATCTGAAATATAGATTTTTTATTTTTGGTAGAAACAGCTAAAACTCGATACTTTACTTCGGGCAACCACGTGTCGGTCCTAGGGCTCCAAAACTCAAATGCTTTGACTAAATGATTAAATATCAAGAGCTTGCTTGACTCTCTTTTTGAAGTGGACACCCTATGCTATCTACACATGAAGAATTCCAACAGAATCCTGCCTGAGTTTTTCCACTATGACCTGGTTTTTGCCTAGAAAACCTAGCTATTCCCACGAGCAGGCACAATATTGCTACATAATCTGTTATCAAGGGATCCGCATGCCAATTTATATGAATTTTCATGTACAGTAATCGATTAAAAATAATATGTGATTTTTCCGTTCTATTTAGGCACACTCACTATTAGGTGCAGTTTCAGAATATTTTGCAAACCGTCTCAGAAAAACCATACTATTTATATACATGTGTACAAAATTTTCAATATCCTTTGAGAAATTCCTGGTCATGAAACGCTCATCACTCTCACATGTCAACTTAGCTGATTATGTGCCTCTCCTTATTTCTGTTTTTAAAGTTGAATAATTGTTTATGACATATTCGTGTATTAGGATTTGACGGATTAATTGCATCTTATATTCTCAAAAAAGTTTACATAATAAGTTATGAGCGGATCCGCATGCCCGCTTTTCAGCATTTTATGAATGTATAAATCCATCATTACCATGGAAAATGGAAATAAAAGTGAAATTGATGAATTGAAGTGGACAATATAGTTGGTTTTTAGAAACTTATCATTCCAAATTATGTTAAAGCTCACCATTTCGACACATTATTACTCGAAGAATGCCGCTTATTGTTCTTTAATATGGACTTAGTTTTAATGGCTATTTTTTCCGAAAAGGATTTAACTTTAGTGGAACTAATATTGGATGATATTGATTTTAAAGAATTATATAGTTATCATAAATGACTTGTACAAATATTGTATTTTAAAAGATTCCCAAATGATGGCCATTTTCTATTTAAATGTCCATTTCATATACTTCGTTTCGAATCACTTTTAGAAATATGTATTAATGTATTTGTATCTTTTAAGTTATTTAAAACGTGTGAATTTAAACTACCCCCCCCTCCCCCCGCCCTCCCCATAATAGAAGACCATCCCCTATTAGAAGACCACTGCCGATTATATAGCTTGAAAGCCAAATAGAAGACCATGGCCTTCTAACTCCTAGAAGACCACTGGTTTCCTATTATGTCCGCAAAAAAATCGGAAAATGCCTATACGGGAATTTTCAAAAAAATTTCGCTAAAACGTACTTCTAATAGGGGATGAACTTGAAGTACGTGAAGGTTACCGTTGGACTACTAGCAGGCGACAAAATTTGACCACTATCGAAGACCACCCTTTAGAACTCGACTTGCGGGACAAAATAGAAGATCAGGTGGTCTTCTATTATGGGGGAAGGGTGGGGGTTAGTTAATATTAAGATGGCATGACTTATATTCATATTCAAGTGTTGTTAACGGTATCCAACTACTATATATTTTTTTCAGTTTATTAATCGTAGAAGACGGTGGACATTTAATGTGATATTTTTCTTCAAGCTTATTCACTATTCGATATATAATTTTGGATATTCCGTAAAAGAAACGATCGGCAGCAATTTTCAAGTGACCGGTCGTCATTAACTAATTTTGTATCAATGGAACAATAGAAAAAATCTTTAATATCATCATCATCATATTTTAATTTCTGATTAGAATTTTCTGACGGAATGTGTTTGAATGATGGATTGGTCTTTCAAAAACACAAATTAATGTTCTCTTTATAGATAATGAAACCATAGGTTTCGAAAGCTCGAAACAAAATTGGAATGAGTCTATTTGCTGCTGTTAAAGCTCTACTATTTATACTCAAAACTATCTCTATTAAAGAAAGAAATTATAGTCCATAGAACTTCATCAAGTAATTTTGCTGTTAGCGGCTTGTCCAGCTAACGGTCTCATTTTTTCGCTCTTTTTCAAAAAATTATTGCAGTAAAGCCACAAACTAATCTAAAACTGCAACTAGAAAATTAAGTAGATTAAACATTTCTCTACAAAATGAAAAGTGTCTGGACTCTGAATGTTGATTCGTTATGAAAATAAAGCTGTTATACAAATAGCCCCAAAAATCGATTTTCGAGCTATCGGAGAAAAGTGTTTAAAAGGTGAAGATGAACTGGCGAAAATAGAATGAGTATACCAGTTTGCAGAAAAGTGTTTGCTCTGCAAGATGTGATGACTTGTTCAGTTCGAAACTATTCTAATTAATCAAAGTAAAATCAGAAAAACGGTAACTCTGTGACATGCCACACTTTTCGTTTTGTAGAAAAATGTCTAATCTACTTAATTATCTAGTTGCAATTTTCTAGTTTGTAGCTTTACTACAATAGTCTTTTGGAAAAGAGTGAAAACATGAGACCGTTAGCCGGACAAGCCGTTAGAATGAAGGAAGTGCGAAGAAGAAAATAGCGAAAAAATGCATTACCTCAATTACTTCAAGTCTGAATGGAAATCTGATTTGTCACGTTGTATCAGAGAAATGAATAGTACTTAAACATTCATCAGATGACCTAAAAATTGTGGACCATTAGATCCGAGACCCATGCTGAAACCGGCTTTTAAAAATTTTCAAGCAAAAAGATGCTGCATAAACTCCTCTTTCGACTGGCAAAAGCCACGACTCTCTGGCTCTTTCCGTTTTTGAGTTATTCAAAAAGACAGCAATATATCGTTCTATTTATAAATGCAAAATAGTTCTTGTTTCTTGTTCAAAGAATGTTTTTAGTCTGTTTACCATTTCTCTCTAGAGATGATATGAGACGGTTTTTATTGACGCATAGCGAAAGTAAGTGAAAAAATAATACTGAATAGCGGAGTCATAAAAGCATAAAGTTTTTTTTTCAGAACACAGATAATTCTTTTTCACACGTAGTGCAAGGCTGTCATAATCCGGCGTGACCCACACATGCTCGTTACTTCCACTGAGTTCTAGAAATTTCGTTACAGCTTCTCTCTTCTCTCGTTCCTGCGCCCGATGTATCCGTTCTTCCTCTTCGTCACGCACGTGTGCAGAGGCTTCAGGAACGAGAGAAGAGAGAAGCTGTAACGAAATTTCTAGAACTCAGTGGAAGCAACAAGCATGTGTGGGTCACGCCAGATTATGACAGTCTTGCACCACGTGTGAAAAAGAATTACCTGTGTTCTGAAATTTTCGTTAGAGCTTCTCTTTTCTCTCGTTCCTGCGCACGATAATGTGTCTGGCATATATGAATCTTGTCGTAATCCAACATTGACGTGATGGCTGTATCCGTTCGATGTACAATAGCTTCTTGGATGGAACAGAGTCAGAGAGAGTCCATAAAGCTTCATCAGACTCTGTAGCTACCAGATGATTGTTATAAATACAATGAAAGGTTCGTGCAGCCATAGACGTAATAAGTTTATACTTTGTGCTTTTTTCTTAACGAAGAATGCTTCTATACCCGAAAAAATTCTTCTACTGATGACGTTTTTATGTAACACTT